TCTTTATCCAACACTAAAATGGGTACCTGGTTGTGAAACGATTTGGCGAGTCGCATTCCAGGGAAGGGAAGGGAACTATCAGGATGAAGCCCCCAAGTTATTACGACTATATAGCACTGGGAAGGGGTCAGGATTAGGATTTGGGATGGGCCGCGGGAAGGAATGGTGCCCAACCACTTGTGGACGGTCGGAGATTGAACGCCGACCTGCATGAAGCGAGACCGTCGTTCAATCCCCGACCGTCCAAGTGGTTAGGATAGGATTAAGGACTTGCCCGAAAGGCTATGCCTGCTAGTGGCTGTACAAGAATGAAAGAACTTTTGTATATATAAATAAATTAATTAAAAAAATCTTCACTATCAAACAGCTTCAGAAGAAAATCTGCGACATGGCCATTAAATTTACTGAATCAAGTCGTCCAGGAGATCAAGTCTGCAGAATTTGGCTTATTTTCAACTGAAATTCATTACTTAACTGATATGGAATCATATTCCCAGTTGATGGTATTTGAATATGTTCACTCAGGTTCATTTAAAGAAGAGTTTCTCTTTTGGCCTCCTCCTGAGACAACAAGACCTGAGATATTTTGGAATTCGTCTTTCTTTGAATCAGAAAATCTTTTGTGAGAAGCAGACGATAAATCACAATAACGTGGCTGAAGATATGAAGACCACAGACTAGAAGACGAGGAGACGACGACGACGACGACGTTTCGGTCCGTCCAAGACCATTATCATGTCTAGTGTGCTCGGCCCGCGGTCCACCGAGACATAGACCCCCAATAAGAGTGTCATGTCTTATTGGTATCGACTTGAGAATGGTCCAGGACGGACCGAAACGTCGTCGTCCCTTCATTTTCATTTTCTAGTGTGTGGTCTGGTCAAGAGTGCCACCTTGTCAACCTGTGTGTGTACACAACACTTGGAAGACTCTGGATGACGTCGTCTTAAATATCACAACATATGCAACAGTGTTATCTTGGTTATCTTGAGGTTATCTTCAGATGATTTCGGGGCTTAGCGTCCCCGCGGCCCGATCCTCGACCAGGTTTCCTTTTTGTTACACACCCCCATCCCCCGGGAAGCAGCCCGTAGCAGCTGTCTAACTCCCAGGTACCTATTTACTGCTAGGTAACAGGGGCATGAGGGGTGAAAGAAACATTTGCCCCAATTTGTCTCCACCGGGGATCAAACGCGGAACCTCAGGACTACGAATCCGAAACGCTGTCCACCCAGCTGTCAGGCGTCATTAAACATATGTTGGAGTTCTCTACAGAAGGTAAGATCCCAACTCACACCACAGCAACAACAACAACAACATAGCATAAACCATAAACAAATTTTCAAAGTTCAATTTCCAAACTTATTTATATATATATATATATATATATATATATATATATATATATATATATATATATATATATATATATATATATATATATATATATATATTAACGCTAGGCCACACTACTTAATAAATACATATATATGGAAATCCCCTTCTGAATAATACATATCATTTAAATTTATTTGAAAAAACATTAAACTTTATGACAAAATAAATTTAATCTAGGCACACACACAGTAATGGGAATATCATTGCTCTAAAAGATTAACCGGAAAACATATTTTGCCCAACTTGTGCTAATAGCCTCAATAAGCTTCTGATTTAATTATTTTGTAAAGAAATATATGTTGATGTCAATTAAAAATGGATAACAAAAATAATAAATTATTTTGAAAGCACCGACAAACCTGAGCAAATGTGAAGGCCAGACCACACACTGGAATGTATAGGGACGACGACGTTTCGGTCCGTCCTGGACCATTCTCAAGTCAATTGAGAATGGTCCAGGACGGACCGAAACGTCGTCGTCCCTTCACCTTCTAGTGTGTGGTCTGGTCATCATACTTTAGCCCCGTTATTGTGACTCATCACCTGAGCAAATGTGTAAGGGTGTAATTTGGTGTTAGTGGTTATCTTCTTGAGGTTATCTTGAGATGATTTCGGGGCTTTTTCAGTGTCCCCGCGGCCCGGTCCTCGACCAGGCCTCCACCCCCAGGAAGCAGCCCGTGACAGCTGACTAACACCCAGGTACCTATTTTACTGCTAGGTAACAGGGGCATAGGGTGAAAGAAACTCTGTCCATTGTTTCTCGCCGGCGCCCGGGATCGAACCCGGGACCACAGGATCACAAGCCCAGTGTGCTGTCCGCTCGGCCGACCGGCTCCCAAGTTTATTAATGGTTTATTAATGTTATTAGTGGTTATTAATGTTAGTGGTTATTAGTTATTAATGTTATTAATAATGTTTATTAGTGGTTTATTAATAGATGGCCAGTTAACATCAAATTGCATTCTGCCATCTTTGAGAACACGATGAATTATACAATATACTGCCCCAGCCATCATAGAAACATATGAGACTGGTGAGTTACCATGAATGATTGATTGATAAAGATTAAGCCATTGTGGCTACACACAGCTAATGATGCAGTCATCCATAAGCCCACTTCGGGCTCACCATAGCCCGTGCTACTTGCACCGCTCCTGTGCCAGGTAAGTCCACTACGGGCTCACCATAGCCCGTGCTACTTGCCCCGCTCCTGTGCCAGGTAAGTCCACTACGGGCTCACCATAGCCCGTGCTACTTGCCCCGCTCCTGTGCCAGGTAAGTCCACTACGGGCTCACCATAGCCCGTGCTACTTGCCCCGCTCCTGTGTCAGGTAAGTCCAACACGGGCTCACCATAGCCCGTGCTACTTGCCCCGCTCCTGTGTCAGGTAAGTCCAACACGGGCTCACCATAGCCCGTGCTACTTGGAACTCTGTGTTCCAGGTAGCGAATCTTAAACAGCAACAACAGCTGTGATCCGCAGGAAAATAGGGAAGTGAATAGGACAATGACACTTTACAAAACGATTTTCTTAAACTTCATAAATGATCAGAATATTGGAAGATTCTCATTTTAGTGACCCTTCCACTTGGACGGTAGAGTGACGCTCTCGCTTCATGCAGGTCGGCGTTCAATCCCCGACCGTCTAAGTGGTTGGGCACCATTCCTTTCCCACCGTCCCGCCCTAAATCCTTATCCTGATCCCATCCAAGTGCTATATAATCCTCATGGCTTGGCGCTTTCGCCCTGATAATTCCCTCCCTTCCCTCTCCTCCTCCTCCTTAGGAAATGTTAAGCTACTCAAGACTGACAACTCAGATATGATTGAGTTTGTAATGTCTACCTTGAGGTTACCTTGAGGTTACCTTGAGGTGCTTCCGGGGCTTAGCGTCCCCGCGGCCCGGTCGTCGACCAGGCCTCTAGTCGTAAATTACTAAACAAATTGGCTGACTTCATAAACTATTGTATGCCGCTGCCCTAAACAACGCTCGTGCGCGCGCGCGCGTAGATCATATCTGCATCAAAGAGTCTGCCTTTGACGTCGCTAATTTAGGTGTATATATTAACGCTTCCTGCTGCGCGGCAGTAATGAAACAGTAACGTGAACGATCATTGAATATATATACCGCTTACACTGCGGTATTGATGGTATCATGGGGACCTGTATTCGTTTGCCTTGTTCGGGTTGAATGTAGACACAGTAGTCGCTTCTGTATATATTTATTGAGTGAGGCAAACAGGTGTATAACTGGCCTACTCTGCTCCACCTACTCTGAGTCTCTCTGGATAACTGAGGCTGCTGGGAGCATGGCTGATGCTCCTCTGTCTGGCATGACGTCAGAGACCTACTTGCCTGTGATTGGTTATATTCCAACTGACATAGAATTTGAGTATAACACCTGAACCGCTATTCAGTACCATAATCCGTCAGTCAAGACGTCCTATTTCCCTTAAGGCCAGCCAATTAGGACCTCTACTGGCCTGCGGCACACAAGCTTCTCGATTGGAGACTCAATTTAGTGATTAAACACATTGACGTCTTAAAGCTTCTTAAAAATAACAAGTCCAAAATAATTGTTTTTGTTGTAAGTTATTCCAACAAACCTCCCCTCCCCCCAGACCACACACCAGAAGGTGAAGGGACGACGACGTTTCGGTCCGTCCTGGACCATTCTCAAGTCACAATCGACTTGAGAATGGTCCAGGACGGACCGAAACGTCGTCGTCCCTTCACTTTCTAGTGTGTGTGGTCTGGTCAACATACTTCAGCCACGTTATTGTGACTCCTCGTCTGAACAAGAATACATATACATTCATGTTGTTATATATTGTGTGTTTATGCACAGACTGGTTTAGAAAAGTTTATTGATTGATTGGTGAGGATGAAGCCACCACAAGAGGCTTTATCATTATAAGAGGTCACCACGAGAGGCTTCGTTATCACCACAAGAGGCCACCACAAGAGGCTTCATTCTCATCTCAAGAGGCCACCACGAGAGGCTTCATTCTCACCACAAGAGGCCACCACGAGAGGCTTCATTCTCACCACAAGAGGTGGAGCAGACATCAGTAAGTGGTAGATGTTTGGAGTGAATGTGGTCTCTGGTCGTGTAACTTCGTCAAGTGTCTCTCTGGGTCTGAGAAAAGTGTTAGGTAAAGTGTTTTGGTTTAGCAAGTGTTTTAAACAGTTAATAACACCTGCTCAGGCGTTGCTGAGCTGTTTGTAAACATAAATAAAAATTGTTAATTCGTGTACAGTTAGGTCTAGAAAAGGGTAGGTTAGATCAAGTGTTTAAGTTCCGTTTTTCATTCATAAATAGGTCAGAGGCTGCTGAATTAACGAGCATTTAACTAGTGTTTAACGAGAATGGATGTTGCAATACGGGTTAGAAATGTTCACTATGTGTGTGTAAGGTTTTAAAATAAAGTTACACGCGGAGATATGAACGTGAGAATGCTATAAGATTAGTGAATGGTGGCCAGCTGTAGGTCAATGCTCACGGTACAACGTTTGCCGTGAGAGGAACTTCGGAAAGGCGCATGCGCTGAACGCCGAAAATAGTGACCGGGAGAATGAGACAGCGAGTGAGACCAACCAGTGTTACCGCCACACTGGGTCGGTGAGGACGTGAGGCGCAGTGTGTGTGGCTGTGAATGTGAGTGTGTGGAGTGTCGCACTCTCACGCCACACTTGTGCCTTGAGTGCAGGGGGGAAACCCTTCGCTTCCTACCTCAGGGGAGAAGAGATATTTCCTCTCACTTTCTGCTTCACATAATTACTATTCTAATCTACAATTTAAAGAGTCTTTGAAAGCTTTCTGGGAGTTGAAAAGTGCTTGGCAATTCTAGCAGGGACACCTGACTGTAAACTTAACCCCGCAGTGGAGTGAACTACAGCAAAACGGCAAGATGTGACACCTAAGAGATCTCAATAGTGATCGTGTAACGAAATAAAACCCAAAAATATTAAAACCCAAGTATTTCACGATGTAAAAACAATCTAGCTTCAAAAAGTTACCAGTGCAATAGTATCGAGCAGTGTGTGTGTGTGTGTGTGTGTTGGAGGCTGTGAGGGATTACAGTGACTCTTAAGATCTCTAGGTCAGCATCACCTGCTTCAGGAGAGATTTCATCCCGGGCCAAGATGCTCCGGTGGGCGTCGGTGGAACAGGTGGTGGGTCTGGTGACCCTACTCACCTTCCTGACCTGGCCTGACCTTGGCTACACACAAGGTGAGTCTCTCGAGATTGTCTAAGATAGGTGAGGGCGGGGAACGGGTTCATTGGGGGATTACTCCTTTAATTACTCATCGTTGGAGTAATCGTTATCGTTACTCATACTTCTTGGCCCTGAATGGTGTTGATTGGCTGTTGTGGCGGTGAGGGTGAAGCTGATGAGGATGATAATGATGACATGTTGGAATGTCATCATCATCTTCACCATGTCATCATCGTCATCATCATCTCTTGTTTATCTCCGTTCTCTCTTCTCTTTATCTATCTCTTCTCTTTATCTATCTCTTCTCTTTATCTATCTCTTCTCTTTATCTTTTTTATCTTTATCTCTCTCTTTTCTTTATCTCTTCTCTGCTCTTCTCTTCTCTTTATCTATCTCTCCCTCTTTATCTCTTCTCTGCTCTTCTCTTCTCTTTATCTATCTCTCCCTCTTCTCTTCATCAGAGGGAGGGAGGGAGACCCGAAATCTTGCTCCATCAGGGAAACAAAACTTAGTAGGTTGAGATGGTGTCAGTTTTCCTCATTAGCTAGTAAGGTGTAGAGTTAGGGGGCCTGGCCGGGCCGCTATCTCCAAGGGGGAGGATAGCGAACGACGGAAGGTGGGGTGAGAGGGGAAGATAGCGAACGGTGGAAGGTGGGGTGAGGGGAAGATAGCGAACGATGGAAGGTGGGGTGAGGGGAAGATAGCGAACGATGGAAGGTGGGGTGAGAGGGGAAGATAGCGAACGATGGAAGGTGGGGTGAGGGGAAGATAGCGAACGATGGAAGGTGGAGTGAGGGGAAGATAGCGAACGATGGAAGGTGGGGTGAGGGGAAGATAGCGAACGATGGAAGGTGGGGTGAGAGGGGAAGATAGCGAACGATGGAAGGTGGGGTGAGAGGGGAAGATAGCGAACGATGGAAGGTGGGGTGAGGGGAAGATAGCGAACGATGGAAGGTGGGGTGAGGGGAAGATAGCGAACGATGGAAGGTGGGGTGAGGGGAAGATAGCGAACGATGGAAGGTGGGGTGAGGGGAAGATAGCGAACGATGGAAGGGGGGAAATGGGGTGGTTGAAGAGGCTTGTTACATGTCCACGTTAGAGTTATAAGTCAGGCGGTAATGCTTGACTTATCAAGTTATTGGCTTGTCAAGTTATGACAAAGCTGGTTTGTGGGTTTGTCATGACTTAGGTGGTACTTGGTGTGGTGCTGGGGTGGTGCTTGGTGTGGTGCTGGGGTGCTGCTTGGCGTGGTGCTGGGGTGGTGCTTGGTGTGGTGCTGGGGTGGTGCTTGGTGTGTGGTGCTGGGGTGCTGCTTGGCGTGGTGCTGGGGTGGTGCTTGGTGTGGTGCTGGGGAGCTGCTTGGTGTGGTGTTGGGGTGCTGCTTGGCGTGGTGCTGGGGTGCTGCTTCAAGTTGAAGAAGTCTGAGAGATCTGCCCCAAGAGAATAATCACCATAATCTCCTCCTCCGTATCTTTGCGCATAACGACAGTCGTCACGTGTTTGTGTGATGATATCTTGCGTCTGCTGACACGCGCATGTTACCGCTCAAACTTCTCGCCTGCTTAAGCGCCCTCTTGAAAGCTTAGGGTCATTTGGTGTCTTTAAATCGAAGTATCTTCTATGTCGCAAACTGGTTTCCTCATTTCCAGCAATGTGGAGTTTCGTTTCTCTTTTATTTCTGTATTTGCGAATGTATATGTAGGGCTTTTCTCAAAATGTGTTTACCGCGCCTGACAGCTGAGTAGACAGTGCGACGGATTCGTAGTCCTGAGGTTCCGGGTTCGATCCCCGGTGGAGGCGGAGACAAATGGGTAAAAAGTCTCTTTCATCCTGATGCCCCCCTGTTACCTAGCAGTAAATAGGTACCTGGGAGTTAGACAGCTGCTACGGGTTGCTTCCTGGGGGTGTGTAACAAAAAGGAGGACTGGTCGAGGACCGGGCCGCGGGGACGCTAAACCCCGAAATCATCTCAAGATAACCTAACCGCGCCCTGATAACTATGGCAGGAGGCCTATGCTGGGTGAGGGTTCCTTAAAAGCGATACGTGCTGTATATAAATAAACACACTAGACCTGGTTTTTCTTTTTTAATTTAATTTGCGTAGATAACAACTTGTGTTTATCTTGCGTAAATCTCCTTCTAAATTATATACGTGTTTTGATAAGCGTTACGCTATCTGTTATGATATTGTACGCTTGTTCTGGGCGTTATACCTGATCAACCAGGCTGTGACTCGTACGTCAGGCTGCGAGCAGCCGCGTCCAACAGCCTGGTTGATCAGTCCGGCAACCAGGAGGCCTGGTCGACGACCGGGCCGCGGGGACGCTAAGCCCCGGAAGCACCTCAAGGTAGGTCAAGGTAAGGTTATTCCTCTTGTGTAATTCCCTGTTGCTCTTGAGGTAAACTCCTGGCTGTTGCTCTTGAGGTAAACTCTTGGCTGTTGCTCTTGAGATTAACTCCTGGCTGTTGCTCTTGAGGTAAACTCCTGGCTGTTGCACTTGAGGTAAACTCTTGGCTGTTGCTCTTGAGGTAAACTCCTGGCTCTTGCTCTTGAGGTAAACTCCTGGCTGTTGCTCTTGAGATAAACTCTTGGCTGTTGCTCTTGAGATAAACTCCTGGCTGTTGCTCCTGAGATAAACTCCTGGCTGTTGCTCTTGAGGTAAACTCTTGTTTGTTATTAGTATTTTGTAAACTCTTTGCTATTATTCTTGTAGAAACTCCACGCTGTTTCAAGTGTGTATACTGTTTGTTCTTCGTGTGTAATCTTCCATTGGCTGTTTCTCATGAGGGAACTCCTGCGCTCTGCTCCTCGTAGGTAAACTGTTTACTGTTTCTCGTGGGTAAACCTCATCTCGCGGGTAAATATTGAAGTAAACAAGTATTGAACAAGTTCTTGACCCAGCAGAGGGAAGCTGTTCCAACTGCCTCTACCTTAGACTGTTTTACAATCAAATGGACAACAGATAGAAGACAGTCTGATAGCAAGACACAGTCAGACAGACACAGACAGACACAGACAGAGTTGTGATTGTACCTATAGAGATTCGTTCATTTCTAATTATAGGTTAGAGTCTTAGAGCTTCGCAAATTTCCATGTGAGAGATTGGTGTTAATTAGCCTAGTTGGTACGTGTGTGTGTGTGTGTGTGTGTGTGTGTGTGTGTGTGTGTGTGTGTGTGTGTGTGTGTGTGTGTGTGTGTGTGTGTGTGTGTGTGTGTGTGTGTGTGTGTGTGTGTGTGTGTGTGTGTCTGTGTGTGTGTGATCTGTGTCTGTGTGGTGTGTACTCACCTATTTGTGCTTGCGGGGGTTGAGGGTTGGCTCTTTGCTCCCGCCTCAGTTATGTATGGGTGTGTGTGTGTGTGTGTGTGTGTGTGTGTGTGTGTGTGTGTCGGGGGGAAGGGGGAGCAGGTGGACAGTTAACTCAGTCTTCGAGCACTGTGGTCCTCTTGCAAGGATTCATGCATACATTTCAGGTATTGTCAGCTCGCTAAACGCCCATTACTGCACACGATGATGGAGCGTATTGGACGCTGATATTCGGGCTTGAATTGTTTTGTGTGTGTGTACTGCAGGATCTATTTGTGCCTGCAGGATCTATTTGTGACTGCAGGGTCTATTTGAGCCTGCAGGATCTATTTGAGCCTGCAGGATCTATTTGTGTCTGCAGGATCTATTTGTGCTTGCAGGATCTATTTGTGCTTGCAGGATCTATTTGTGCTTGCAGGATCTATTTGTGCCTGCAGGATCAAGCATTAACTCTTACAACCCCTCCTTTCTAGTCACCGGTTGTTTAAAGGACTATATATATATATATATATAGGACTTCTATAGGACTTCATATATAGGACTTCTGTCCTATTTTCCTATCGTGTCTACTTTTAAAATTATGAATAGAATTGCCTTCCACAACCTGCTTCTTTAGTTCATTCCATTTTTCCCACTATTACACTAAATGAAAGATTTCTAACACCTGACTTTCTGACTAACACCTGAAGTTTCAGGCTTCCACCCATGGCCCACTTCTTTAGATGGTGTTTAATTAGAACATTAAATCTATTTCCACTCTGTCAATCCCCCTAAATATTTTGGACGTCTGCCATGTTTCTCCTCCCTCTCATTTGTTTTAGCGTGGTCGGGTTTAGTTCTTTCAGTCGCTCTTCATACCCCCCATCTCTCGCAATTTAAAATGTGTGGGTGTGTGTGGGCGGATTATTTTCACAAAACTGTACTCACCAAAGTGTGCTTGCGGGGTTTAGCTTCAGCTCTTGGACCCTGCCTCTTAAGGTTTCCAAGCCTGAATGGTGTTCATCTACATTGCATCTTACCAACTTCAATCTTTTTAGTACTCTGTAACCCCCCAAAAAATTTAAGGTCTGACATGTATATATATATATCTATATATGTGTGTGTGTGTGTGTGTGTGTACTCACCTATTTGTACTCACCTATTTGTGCTTGCGGGGGTTGAGCTTTGGCTCTTTGGTCCCGCCTCTCAACTGTCAATCAACTGGTGTACAGATTCCTGAGCCTACTGGGCTCTATCATATCTACATTTAAAACTGTGTATAGAGTCAGCCTCCACCACATCACTGCCTGTGTGTGTGTGTGTGTGTGTGTGTGTGTGTGTGTGTGTGTGTGTGTGTGTGTGTGTGTGTGTGTGTAATTTCCTTATCTCGATATATTTTTGGTATGAGGGTGATGCAGATCACTTGAACTGTTAATCTGGCAGATCTCTGGTGTGAGGACACAAGTATGTGGTGGGCGAGGCTCTCACACCGCCCACTGACGCAGTCAGAAGCCCATGGGTGCAGGGCCTATAATATTAGGACATTGAAGGCCTCTTGTTTTAACCCTCAATTCATTGAGGATTGAATAAATCCACAAGGGCCGTGACGAGGGTTCGAACCTTTGTCCGAGAGCATCCCAGACGCTGCCTTAATCGACTGAGCTACGACATGGTAAAAAGAATACCAACCAGAAGTGCTACTTGCTTAGACCCTGCAGCCACCCGCGACC